TTATAACAGGTCATGTGGCTGTTACGAGCGCTTTGAACCAGAGACACATGAGATGTGACAACGTTTGTCCACGATGCGGAGAGCCGGAAGAAACAGTTGCACATGCAATCTTCCTATGTCTGCCTTCTCTGCAGGTTTGGGCACTAGCGAATATACCTACCAGCTCAAATTTATTCCCACTGCAGAGCACATATGCGAACATGGATTACCTATTTTGGAGGAAGAAGGCCATAATGGAACCAGAATTAGACAGGGACCCTTATCCTTGGCTAATATGGTACATTTGGAAGGCTCGGAACGATAAGTTTTTCCGAGGAAATGATAGAGATCCTCTAGAATTAGCCCGGTATGCGGAGAGTGAGTGCCTTGCCTGGTTCCGAGCCAATGAACAAGATATCGTGTCATCGCAAGGAAACATAGATGCTGAATGCCAGGTCATAAGCATGGGTGATATCTGTATGGTAGATGGTTCTTGGACCTCTACAGATCATTTCACTGGTTGTGGCTGGGTTTGGAAGGATAGCAAGGGGAATAACCAGTTAATGGGGATGCGTAATGTTAGTAGGGTGGAGTCGGCTTTGCACTCTGAGCTGGAAGCACTGCGGTGGGCAATGGAGAATATGCTTCAACATTCGCCATGCCAGAGCTTTGGGACGGATTGCAAGGATTTGATAGTGATGATCAGCAACCCCCATGATTGACCAAGCTTCTCGACAGAATTGGAGAGGCTCTTGACATTGCGGATCTGCTTCCCAGACTTCAAAATATTCTATGTTCCTAGGTCCCAAAATGCTGCATCTGATTCTTTAGCTAAGACTGTTAGATCCTTTTATCGTGATCTGATGTATGTTGGTTGTTCTATTCTGGTCTGGATTCCCGGACCACCTCAAGCTTGAGTAATAGATCAGCCTTTCGTTGCCAAAAAAAAATGAGTTTTTTTGCATATTCATTCACATCTTCGCGTGATCTATTTTTTTTGGATATCACATATAGAGGAAATAATATGTGACATCCTAATTTTCACATTAAAGTGATGTTGATTTAAATATATTATTATCATGTTGTCGTATATTAGTTACTGTCACAATTATACTTAAGCGTTTGTACATGTTGTTTTATGTAAGTTTAATGGATAATGTGACTATTATGTTTATATGTGATTATGCTTATGTGTGTTTGTTCTTATCGGCCTATAAAATTGGTTATGATGTTGTAGATCATGATACTACAGAATTAAAATAAAAGAGAATGAATTTGAAATGAAATGTGTAGGTTATGCTACTAAAGAATTGAAATCAAAGAGAAAGAATTTGCAATGGAAAATATTACTAATAATTTGACCTACACAATATATGCAAGATATTCTTTCAAACTGAAATGACGTTATTTTTTATATGAGTTTGCTATGCAATGACTATCAACAAAAATGAAGGTTAAACCTTAAAAGGCTGGTCTATATTTACCAAGTCCAGTCTTACAATTATACACACACTATCAAGAGTCACTATAACTTCATAATTTCAGATATTTAAAACATAACAACAATAGTCACACCATAAATGCTAAAGTAAACATATTAGCATGATATATGATATTTAGCTAACTATCAATAATATATATTGATTGGTGTCGTGTAGTTTTAATATTTTAATTGTGTTGTTTTTAATTTGCCTTAAACAAGATAAGTAATATTAAGAGTTCACACTTGCATATTCAATTAACTACAACTTTAATTATTTTGAAAAATATTTAAAAGTATTAATAGATTATTTAAAGCACCATAATTATTGAAATAGAAATATCAATCAAAACTTAAGTAAGAAACAAATTATTATTACTAAAATTAAGACCAATATATACTGAAAATTTCAAGAACTAAGAGTATCTTCAACCCATTGTTATTTTAATCTCTATAATGACATTTAGAGGTGAAATTGCCCCAACCCACCTGTATTTCTTTATTTCTATTTTTTCCTCTATTTATAAAGGAAGAAATATCAATCCTCTACTTTTACTCTATATTTAGAGATTGCTATTATAGAGGAATATATTGGACCATATCTCATCTCTATTATAGAGTTCATTTATTTAATTTGAAAATAACAAAATACATTGGAGATGGTCTAATGTGAATTTTTTTTCATTTTTTATGTGTTCGCAAAAAGTAAACATCAAATAAAACCCGTGCAATGCAACGATCCAAATCTAGTATATAATACGAAACAACTTATAAATTCATAGTGTATTTAACTCACAAATCGATCTTATTTCCAATCCACCAATGGTGAATCTTCTCTTTTAACTCGAGTCATATTTTCATTTTTAATTACTTCAAATTTAAGTTCTTTGACTTGATTAAAGTCCTCTTTGTCTTTAGATTTAGAAGAATATTTTACTTTTAGGACACATTATGACTTGCAAATTGCATATGAGGATGTTTGTTGCTAGATGCACACTTTCTCCTTGTGCAATGTCCTACATATTCTCAAATAATATTCAACTACATTCTCTTCTAACTAAGCTATTATTTTCCCAACTCAAAGAATTTTTTAAAAATTTAAAAAATAAATGGATAAATCAGTTTCCTATTTTTCAAAAAGTTTCATATACTCTCCCCAACTTTATTTTCGAATTTCAAATTTACTTTCCCAAATTTTCTCATTTTCAAACTTTCTGTTGAATTCTAATATGTAATCAATAAACCAACAAACCAAGATCTAAAATTTGTCGTTTGTTGATAGAAGCTATATGCAAATCAGCTGGCAGTCGAAGAATGAGTCGAACTCAACATCAAGAAAATCATCGAAGAAGACGAGATAGTTGCCAGAGACGAAACGAGTCGACGAGTTTGGTTCAAACTCTTCGCAATTCCTCCACCACAAGATATGCCGCCCAAATTGACTCCCCTCCTTGCACAGCTTATCTCCACGAAGTCTCGTCCATCATCTAGGTGAAGTTGCGGTGGTTTGAGCTCGGTATTGCCATGGATGAAAGCTCGATTGCATATGCAATAAGAATCATGAATTTGTGAATTTTATCCTTGTATTTTATGTAATTATTTGTTTTTACCTTCAAAATTTTAAATGTGCAGTTTTTACCTTCAAAATTTTAAATGTGCAGATCTGTATTTTAATTAGTCTCAAAATTTTTAATTATACACCGCAGCCATGTTTTATGCAATTATGTTCTTCATGGTGTATGTCCACGCCTACTAACTCACAAATAATCGTTCATGAACATCTATTAACATGATCTTTTTTTCACAAACTTTAACTTGGATGCAATTTATGTATCATACAAAATGTCTATGTATTTTCCGTTTACACATTTGTATCTATGTCCACATATCTAACGGTCACATTTTTATCATCCATATCCATACATATTTTGTATGGGTTATATATAAAAATATATATAGAAAAATAGAACAAAACAATAAAAGTATATATCATTAAATAAAATAATATGTATATATATATATCATTATTTATTACAGTAAATTTTTCATATATATATATATAGAAAGTAGAAAACAAAACATAGAAGTTGAAAAAAAAGTGCGTCCACATCCATCCACGAAACACATGTCCATTAAATTATGATTTGGAAACTTATTTAAACATTAAAATATAAAATATATGTATATGGATATCAAAAATAATAAGTAAAAATAAACAGGTTTCTATACGGTTATTACATATTTATTTACATATCAAAAATTGAATAATGGAAGAATTAAATATGATGGGATAAAAAAAGTACAAGTGATTATATACCTATGGTTCCGTTTACTTTCTCCATTCAATGACAGATAATAGAGCCACTTCTTTTATAAACTTATCATAAGAACTTCAACAAGGTAACACAAAAAAGTAACTAGCATTGGTCTCCACAAACTAAATCAAAAAGAGAAAACTTTATACCCTGTCTTAGTTACACCAATGAGGGGCATTTCTGTCTGAAAATATGACACAAAAGAGCAAAAATTCCTCTCTAGCAACATATGCCTTAAGTTGTCAAAAAAAAAAAAATCAAGAAAGTGTCCCATATGATAATGCACTCTTTTTAAAATTACTTCATTATTCTTCTTTCTGAAATAAGCTTAATGGTATCTATCAATATTTTACGCATCAAAACAATATTTTTTCCTCCAACTTAAATGAAATAAAATATGCTGTGAAATATTTTGAAGAGATCCAAATATCCTCCATAAGTGACTTATCAACCCAGTGAGTAAGAATTTCTAAACTATCCTTCTCATTATAATGGTTAGCCAAAACATCTTCCATCACCAAGAGACTGTCAAGATTCTCAACGTAAGGAGATGACAACTCTTAAGGTAATGCAGGTTCTTTCATAGCGTTTTTCAATTGATTAATAGGAAGAAACAAAAATACGATGAATTTTTATTTTTAAACGTAAGCCCAACCGATAAGCAGTTTTTCACACATGTTCCAAAACTATGAAAATTATGAAATTTTGCATCCATATTATAACATATACTCTTGCTAATACATGATGTTTATAGTGGGATAATTCTAAAACTTGTGAAGCAAACTAACCTATTAAAAAGTATTTAATGAATTAGGCGATAATTACATAAATAAAGAAATCTAAACAAGAATAAAAAATTAGATAAGATTTACTTCGATATTTTTCATAGAAAATAGAATTATCTTTCATATAAATAGATATCTAACGGAGACATCTATTATATAAAAGAAAATCCACCTCAGCGTCAGCGTGGAAAGGCCACGTAGGACAGTTTGCCACATAGGCATCCAGCGCAACAATTCACTCTTCCCACGTCGGACTCGTGTCTTGTCTCAAAATGCAACTTTGTTGTTTGGAGGTCGGCTGGGCTTTTAGCCATTACACGTCTGTTAAGTGTTTTTGGGCTTAAGTTCAGATTATGTTTTCGGCCCAGATACCCAGCTATGCGCTAATCCTAATCTGGTGATGCGATTACATGCGTGTTCTTCTCTCCTCTTCCTTTGACGGCGACAATGACGCCTGAGATTCCTCATAGTTTCTGAAACGGAGTGCATGAATGTAAGTTAATATTAACTCATTTAGTGCATCTGTTCTTCTTCAAGACGGTGAATCTGCAATTATAAATAGTTGAGGTTGTATCGTATAATCAATGATTTCATGTATCACTTTCCATTGTTACTGCCTTCTTTGTTTTGGATTTGATCTCTCCGGCTTTAACGAATCTATGGACGTGTTTTATTGCAGGTGGGGAAGGATCTGGTGGTTGAGGGAGATATTAGGAGAGATGCGATGTTTGTTGAAGTTAGGGAAGAGGAATGGTTTGACCAAATCTGGTGTTACGTGCTCCGGTGGAGCAGAGCAGTTGTGTCATATCCTTTGGTCTCCACATACCGGCAAAAGAAATCCAGAGACGTTAAGCGAGTGCGTTGAGTCCAAACGCGTCTATGACGCCATCATTAACAACAGCTACCCAGTCCTCTCATGATCTCTCATTCAATGCCTCTCCCAATACTTGGATAGAGTGAAGCTGCAAGTATAAACATGTAAGTCTCAATCCCCTGTAAATCACCACTTCAATCCTTTGACTTTCAATTTTGGTATGATAATGGCAAATTTGCAAAGTCTGGTTTCGGAGTTGAAGGCTGGTAGGTATTGTGACAAAACTTCTGCTTTTTGGGAAGCACATAATGTGAATAAGGGTGGTGATCTCATGGCTGTTTTCATTGCTTTGGTGGATGAGAAAATATCTTTTTCTTAACTTCTGCTCTGATATTTTACACCTTAACAAGACTTATTATTTCTATTAACTCAACGCCCCGTTTCTATTAGGTTCTCGGAGTAGACCACTTCTGTTGAGTTTGGAGAGAGCATTAACTCTATCCCTATGTTGAATCTCTCTTTGTAGTTATAACATGTCAACTCTAGACAAGACAAACAAGAGTACATGTGAACCCTTCTTGGCATGTTCTTTGAATCACTGCCACTTCTATTTCCCACGCATATATCAGGTACATCATATTTAAATATTTTTCTCATCTTCTTATTTGTCCTCAAGCTTTTAGTTTTCCATTCTACAGAGAGATTTTGGTGTTGTAATTGGCAGAGGAAAACAAGCTACTAAACATTAAAAGAAACCCAGCCGCTAGATGCATGGATGTTTGACTCCACATAGGAATGGGTAAATCATAAAAGAAATGGAAACAATATATGTGTTTCTCTCTTCTTTTTTATCTCCTTTTTTTCCTTTTTCTTTTTGGGAAAGAGTTTTAGTATCTATATTTCGCTTTTGGTGTATGTCTTATTTGATACGTAATTGTAATTGCTCTGTTGACATACACATTTCGTATGAATTCCTTCATTCATTTTATCTATTTTTATGAGTTCATTTACCACTATTATTTTACGATAGCTATTTGATAGTTTTACAATCAAATGTGTTTATATGTTATACGGTATAAGTCACTTATACCCAAAGCGAAGGTTTCTTTTTTCTTCAGTACGCACGGTACTGAGTAATACATAGGCCTGTTCAATCTGGTGTTCGGTCCAGTTTCGGTTCGGTTATTTTCGGTTTTCAGTTATTCGGTTTATAAAAATTAGCTACCATATTGAAATCATATTTACTTTCGGTATTTATACTACCGGCTTTCGGTTTATTCGGTTTTATACCAAATAACATTATTATTTGATTTGATTTCATATTATATGAATTTAAATAAAAAAATATTGTCAAAACTATCATTTATTAAAATAATCCTAGGTGTTTATAAATACAAAAATCTGAAATTAACAACAAACAAAACGACCAACGATTCAGTTTTGTACAACTTTTCTTATTTTCTATTTTTTCTTCCAAATAAATTACATGATACAGTCTAATTTCACAATTTCTTACAACATGCAAAATAAAATCAAATTTAGATAATAGTTGAAGAAAATAAAATAAAATTATTAAGATATATCTTCACAAGGAATAAAAAAGTAAAAAAAAAAAAGATTATTCCAAGAAAATATATGGTTATATAATGTATATATTTATATATTTTTTCTTTGATCGGTTTTGTTCGGTTTATTCGGTTTAATCGGTTATAAACCTAACCATATCCAAATCCTACGGTTTTTATAAAATCATATCCATTCGTTTTATATGGTATATACCAAATCCAAACCATATTGTTTATTTCGGTTTGGTTCGGTTCAGTACGGTTCAATATTTCGGTTCGGTTCGGTTTGGTGTTTAAAATAAAAACACATGCTACTGCTACGTTCATTTTGATTCTGTAGTGATTTTGTTACTTTTTGCCGTCATATTTTTAATAAAAATCATAAAATGATACTGTCAAATGTCAATTACTTTTTTGAGCCAAATAACAATTTCACATATGCTTCAAATTTCCACTATCTGAGTATCTGATAGGTATAATCATCAAATGGTAACATAAAACAATTTCTAATGTATATTACTATATTTTAAAGATACTATGATAAAATTTAAGTTTTATTCTAATTATTTTCTGCACAATAACATTTCATCATAAAGTACAAAAACATATTATATTTATAGAAGAAAAATAGAAAAATTATTACCTGAGATCATATGTATAGTAGAACCCGCCCGTAGGGCGGGCCGGACCTAGTATTCCATAAGATTAAGAGAAACATTGAGAGATTCAGCTCTAAAAGAGTTTCTAAAAAACTAAAAAAAAATTATTCTTATATTATTTTTTGTTTCTAAGGATTTGAACTGGTATTCGAATTTAAGTTGAAGACTCGATCTTGGCTACGGAGGAGAGATCACGTAAGCAAGCATGAGAGACATGACTAGAGATGCACTGTACACGAAGGCTTTGGATCCGCATCCATCCAATGTATGATGTTAACATTGACAAACTATACAATTTGGTGAATGAGGATGAAGATTCAATTTAGAGTTCATGAAGCATGGGAGACAATAGAACCGGGTTCAGATGATCAGAATAAGAATGATGTGGCGACTGCACTTCTATTCCAATATGTTCCCAAAACCTTGACTCTCCAAGTGAGAACAAAGCCATTAAATCATGACACATTGGAGCTGATCGTGTAAGAGAGACAAGACTTAAAAGTGAGAATCAAATAATTAATAATAAAAGAGGCAATGATTCGTGGATATCCTCGACTTCTTTTGGTTTTCTGTTTCAAGTGAGGGACAACAATACCATCAAGTCTGCATAAGTCAAGCAATAGAAAAAATGGTACTTAGAACTTGATATTTTCATGATACCTTATGTTATAACCACATGAGAGACACGAAATTGAGATATTCTTACGGGCCAGACTCTAGAAAGATGAGTAATGTTCGAGAAAACTAATACCCTATTCAACAAAACTAGTACCCTTATTTCTGGCAGTTCTTCTCCTTTGTAACTTGATATCTTGTGATGAACTGTTCCATCGACTATGAGATATCACCAAGATCAAAATTGTTCATGTTTGCATCAGACAAGCTTCCATCTTTTTCATTCCATTTTCTTTCTATTTTCTTCCCTTATATGCGTTATAGAACTCTATCTACTTTTGCATATAATGTTAGTGATAAGTGTTGGAACTGCATTAAAAGAAATATTACATGGAGTTTGAGTCACAAAACTCGTATGCTACTTCACCACTCTAGATACAATATTAATCTGCCATCCAAACAACATTAGTAAGCTACATGACTACTACTATTTCTATAAGAAAATAACTAAGTTCGTTTATTTCATTTTAGACGTATTTGTTTATTTTCTTACGTTAAGAATATAATTCAAAATGGAACAACTTTTTATGTACTACACAAATAAATTTAATATGAGAGTTGTGTATTTCACAAATAAAATAATTCTCAATCTTCAACAATAAAAAATTGTCAACGTAATAAGTGTCCATATATATTTTTCGTTATGTCTTGAAAATTTTCTTAAACCTTTATAAATCTATTGTACCAAAAAATTAGAATAAATTAGCATCAACAACAATAGCAAAATATGACACTGATTTCAAATTGCACTACAAACCAACAAAATAATTTATAAATTTAAATAACACAAATGTCAGAAAATATGAATTTAGCGCAGACACACAACTAGTAATATATATATATATATATATATATATATATATATATATATATATATTGATATAAGTTTCAGATTAACAATTATATAACTACTAGTTTATGACCCGGACGCATGCGCGAAATAAATATTTCTTAATAATGTTTGCTTGGAATATTCGTGTCATATATCATGTTGAAATGATGATATTTTAAAGGCCATTGTATTTGCTATTAGACTTGAATTACAAGTCATGAAACTATGTTCTCAGATGAAAAACACGTTATACTTTATAAGGGTTTTTATTCTTTATAGCAAATCAATGTAGTAAGGTAAGTAGAGTGTCAATCCAATCCCGAGAGCTATTGAACAAAGAGAATGCAAGACATTGCTTAATCTAAATGCAATCAATGGGGGTTTGTTTTATAAGTAACTAGTAACAAGCAATATGTAAACAAGAATAACTAAGCTTTGGTTTCAATGAGAAAAAAGAGCATATGGATAAGGGTATTGACTTTGGGTGATCAAGTTACTATCTAGGGTGAGGTTTCAAGCAATCATTCATATCCTATAGGTCTACACAATTCTAAGCTAGTCCTTGGTCAAGATAAAAGCTCATTTGCTATCAATCTTTAAACACAAATGATCACTGGTCTAAAGCAATCATTGAGAACAAGTCTACTAACCATCTAAACCTTCCTAACATAAAGTATCCTTGGTTAAGCAAGCAAAAAGCATTATTACTTTAGTTCAGGCATTTCATCATACACCTTGTGGGAAAGAAATGCCTAATGATCTAGTTTAGAAAGATTAGGTCTAATCTAGCATTGGGAATAAGTAATAAGCATAGGACAAGAAGGATCTAACACTAATCACCCTAGATCATCACTTAATCACCCTAACCCATAAGCTCAAAGAGAGTCTACTCACTAATCTTCATGTTTAATCTTAAACCCATGATGGATAGAAGACTAATCATGATTAAAAGAAAAGATAGACTCAAAATACTCAAGAAACAAAGCTTATATTAATCAATGATTCAACTTTTCAATGTGTTTTTGAGAGAAAAGAAGATATCATCCACTTAAAGTCTAATACATATTTATATTAAGCTAAAATCCGTGACACGGCCGCAACCTCCTTTTGGCCGCGGCACTAGCCTGCGATGCACCCATTTTGGCCACGGCCTTCTCTTCCCGCGAATCAGCTCGCGAAACCTCCATGTCCAATTTGTCGAGAGATGATCGCGACCACCTTTAGCCCGCGAAAGATGCCCGCGGGCAAAGTCAGGAGGCCGCACTGACGTTGCCCATGACCTTCATATCCCGCGGTGGGAGCCTGCGAAATATTCCTGTCCAATTCGTTGTAACACTGTCGCGGGCATCTACATCCTGCTACGGTTGCCTGCGGCACCTTCGCAACCACCTTTAGCCTGCTACAGTTGCCTGCTATTGCATCATTTGTCACTCCTTTGGATTTCTTGTGACTCTCTAGGCTCCAAATCATCACTAGTACCACTCCAAACCTAATAAGGACATATGAATGCAATATGGACCTAAAGATGCCTAAACCTAAATCTATATGATGATTTATGTACAAAATAAAATGCTAAAACTATGCAAATATGCCTCATATCAACTCAACTCCCCAAACTACTCCTCTAGTTGTCCTCAATTAATTAATTAAGATCAAAGAGAGAGAGAGAATGTAAATGGGAACTCAAAACCAAAGGATACACTTCTTATACTCAACACCACATCCTAGACAAACATAACCAATAGCATAAACAATCTCAATTAGTACATTCTAGCTTCTCAAGGCCTATCAAGACTCATTGCTATAAAACAAGTTGTGGATCACCAATCAATAATTCTCTTCAACCAACCCTCACATTCAATTAAGCATAAGCTAATAAGGTGAGTTCTTGCAAATGGAAACTTGATCTCAATCATTTGGTTTGGTAAGTGAAATGGCTAAATGAGATTAGAAGAGGGGTTTCAATACATTTCTTTTTTAGTGGCTTACACTCAAGAATAGGAACTTGATCATTATGCAAAATCTATCTAAGAAAATGAACAACTTATGCATACATTGCATGTTCTTATCAATCTACCCTTTCCTAGACAACTTTAAACTCTATCATTTTCCTTGGTGTAAATCTCAAACCCATCCATCCCTAAAAACATTAAGATCACTCTCTTATTTCACTCACCTAATGAACTCATTCTCTTTTCTTTTCTTTTGAACCAACTAGGGACTTTTTCTTTCACTTTTTACTTAAGCTCTACTCTTTTTTTTCTTATGTCATCCC